CCCCCCCCCCCCCCCCCCCTCAAGAATCGCCTCCAGGCGACCTGAGACGCTTGTCGGGATGACTCTTGAAGAAGGAGGTGATGAGGCTGGGGTCGAGGATGAAGGATCGGGGAATCCATGACCTCTCCTCAGGACCGTACCCCTCCCAATCGACGAGGTACTGGAATCCTCTGCCCCTGCGTCGCACGTCGCAGATGGATCGGACCGTGAACGCAGGGTGGTTGTCGATCAGGCGGGGTGGAGGAGGGAGGTCAGAGGGAGGACACAGAGGACTGGTGAGGACTGGCTTGACCTGGGACACATGGAAGGTCGGGTGGATCCTCATGGTCCTAGGGAGCTGTAGCCTCACCGCAGAGGGGCCGATGAGCTGGGTGATGGGGAATGGGCCGATGAAGCGTGGAGCCATCTTTCGGGGGGTGTCCTTGAGAGGAGTGTCCCGGGTGGACAGCCACACTTCTTGGCCCACCTGGTAGAGAGGGGCCGAGGAACGTTGACGGTCAGCGGCTTTCTTCATCTGGGCAGCCGTGCGTACCGCACCTGGCGCCAGACCCTGCGGCACCGTCGGAAATGATGCTGCACGGAGGGCACCGCGCAGTCCACCTCTTGGCCGGGGAACAGAGGAGGTAGGTAGCCTAAGGAGGCTTCGAAAGGAGACAGGCCGGTGGCGGTGGAGCGATGGGTGTTGTGGGCGTACTCAACCCAAGCCAAATGGTGACTCCAGGCTGACGGGTCCTTCTCTGCCATGCAGCGCAGGATGGATTCCAGTTCTTGGTTGGCCCGTTCAGCCTGGCCATTCGACTGTGGGTGGTAGCCCGAGGTGAGACTCGTGGTGGCTCCCAGTGTCCTGCAAAAAGAGCGCCAAACCTGGGACACGAACTGTGGTCCACGGTCCGACACGATGTCTGAGGGGATACCGTGCAGTCGGACCACGTGCTGCGTCAACAGGTGCGCCGTCTCCATTGCAGAGGGGAGCTTGGACAGAGGGACGAAGTGGACCGCTTTGGAAAAGTGATCGATTATGGTTAGAATGACTGTGTTACCTTCAGAGGGTTGGAGTCCGGTAACAAAGTCCATCGAGACGTGGGACCACGGACGGCTCGGGGTGGGCAGAGATTGCAGGAGGCCGGAGGGGGGTTGAGTGCCCGTCTTATTGCGGGCGCACGTGGGACAGGCAGCAACGAACTCACGAATATCCGCAGACATGGCTGGCCACCAGAAGTGAGTCCTGGCCAGGGAGATCATGCGGGTGGAACCTGGATGACATGAGAGTTTGACATTGTGAATCCAGTGTAGTACCTTTGGGCGTAGAGCAGTAGGCACGAACAAGGTTCCAGGGGGGCCACCACCAGGGTCTGGTTCCACCTTCCAGGCTTCCCGGATCTCCTCTTCGATGGGCCACGTGAGGGCCCCAACGATGCAGGTGGAGGGAAGGATGGTTTCCTTGGTCTCCATGTTGTCAGGGGGGGCGAACTGGTGGGACAGTGCGTCCGGCTTGACGTTTTTGGAGCCGGGCCTAAAGGTGAGAACGTAGTTGAACCTGGTGAAAAACAGTGACCAACGTGCCTGGCGGGGGTTCAGGCGTTTAGCGTCCCGCAGATAAGTCAAGTTTTTATGATCAGTCCAAATCAAAAACGGGGTCTCCGTGCCCTCCAGCCAGTGCTGCCATTCCTCCAGTGCCAGCTTAACTGCCAAGAGTTCACGGTTTCCCACGTCGTAGTTTCGCTCTGCTTGGGATAAGCGTTTAGAAAAGAAAGCGCAGGGATGGACCTTGTTGTCCTCCGAGGATCGTTCAGACAGCACCGCCCCTACCCCTGTATCCGAAGCGTCAACCTCAAGGATAAACTGTCTGCGTGGATCAGGGTGAGAGAGGATGGGCGCAGAAGAAAATAAAGTCTTTAATTTAAAGAAAGCAGTCTCAGCCTCAGGCGACCAGATAAACGGTCTGGAGGTGGAGGTGAGCTGAGAAAGAGGGGCGGCCACTCGACTATAATTTTTAATAAAGCGTCTATAAAAGTTTGCGAAGCCCAGGAAGCGTTACAATTGTTTCCTGGACTCGGGTCTAGGCCATTCGACCACAGCTTTAGTCTTTTCTGGGTCGGTCCTGCAGTGGCCTTCCCCAAAAATGAAACCAAGGAAGGGAACCAAGGAGACATTAAATTGGCACTTCTCGGCCTTAAGGAATAACTGGTTCTCCAGTAACCTCTGGAGAACCCTCCTTACCTGTTCCACATGCAGAGCGGGGTCACGGGAAAAAATAAGTATATCGTGTAGGTAAACAAACACAAAGTCGCCGATGAAGTCGCGCAAAACGTCGTTCACGAGGGCCTGAAAAACCGCGGGGGCATTTGTTAAACCAAAAGGCATAACTAAATATTCAAAATGGCCGAGGGGTGTTTTAAATGCTGTTTTCCACTCGTCGCCCTCTCTTATGCGAACGAGGTGGTAGGCATTTCTTAAATCCAATTTGGTAAAAATAGTGGCGGATTGCAATTGCTCATGTAGGGAGTTGATTAAAGGGAGTGGATATTTGTTTTTGACAGTGATGTTGTTCAAGGCGCGATAGTCGATGCAGGGACGTAAAGTCTTATCTTTCTTTGAAACAAAGAAGAAACCTGCACCGACGGGAGACGTGGAGGGACGAATAATACCAGAGTCGAGGGACTCGTTGATATATTCTTTCATGGAGTCCCTCTCAGGACCCGAGAGATTATAAAGTCGGCTAGACGGCAAGGGGGCGCCAGGGAGTAAATCAATGGCACAGTCATAGGGACGGTGAAGAGGGAGTGATAAGGCTCTCTGTTTGCTGAACGCCGCCGCGAGGTCGTGGTAGGCAGAGGGAACAGCGGAGAGATCTACTTTCTCACTAGGAGAAGTGACCATTGGCTGCCCGGCGATCGCGGAGCGCAGACAGTCTTTGAGGCACTTATTGCTCCACTTCTCAACTCGCCCTAGCTCCCAATTAATGTCTGGGTTGTGCGTCTTTAGCCAGGGGAAGCCTAAAATTATCTGAGAAACGGAGGAGTCGAATACAAAAATGTCAGTCATCTCATGGTGGTTGCCAGAGATGATAACATGAAGCTCGATGGTTTTCTGTTGGACGAGCGCCAACGTTTTACCAGTTACACCGGAAACAGAAATAGGAGGGATCTCGCGAGTGGGTAAAGAATATTTGGCAACCAGGTCCGAACTGATAAGGTTTTGTTCGGCGCCCGAGTCAACCAAGGCCAATAAGGAAACACGAGAATTGTTTATTTGAATTACTGTGGGCAAGAGGAGTTTAAATGGGGAGGTAAGAGCTGAGTTACCCACTAGTATCTCCCGCTTTACTGGTGGGCTCGCTCGTTTCCCCGAAACGGGCAGAGAGGTAAATAATGACCGGGGTTGCCACAGTACATGCAGAGGTTAGCGTTTCTACGGCGCTCTCGCTCTTCAAACGTCAACCGTGTTCGCCCAATCTGCATGGGTTCTGGCTCAGGAGGCACGAGAAAATTGCTCTGGGGAGACAAACAAGAAGAATTAATACCCGGGGACGTTTTCAAAAGATGATTTTCCTTCGCTGTTTTAAAATAACGAGGTTCACCTGAAGGGGCCGCGAACCCGGAAGTGGAAGGTTTCTGGGAGTTGTAGTCCCGTTCTCGCCTCCGCTCCCGGAAACGGTCATCAATGGAAATGGCCATATCGATTAGTTGGTCAAACCCTTCCGGTTCGTCTCGTGCAGCGATTTGGTCTTTCATCTGGTCGGAGAGAGAGTTTAGGAACGCACCTTGGAGAGCGAGTTCGTCCCACCTCGTTTGAGCTGCCAGGATCCGGAACTCCAGGGCGTACTCAGAAACAGGACGGTGGCCTTGACGTAATCCCAGGAGACGTTTCACTGCGTTTGAAGCCTGCAGGGGGCGATCAAAGATCCGTCGAAACTCCTTCAGGAGTTGGGGGTAAGTAGCCGGGGGGTCCACGTGGGACTGCATGAAAGAAGTAGCCCAACGTAGAGTGTTACCTTTGAGAAGGTTAATAAAGTAAATAATTTTTGCAGAGTCTGTGCTGTAGAGAGACGGGGCTCCCTCGAAAACGAGTCTGCACTGCAGCAGAAAACCCCCACATTGGTCAGGATCTCCGGCGAACAGTTCAGACGGTTTGACGAGCAGCTGTGGACCATGAGAGGTTGCGACAGGCGTCTCACGAGGGACGCTGGGGACAGGCGTGTCGGTCGGATCTGGAGGAAGAGGAGGTAGAAGTTGTTGATTGAGGGAGTAAATCATACCTCCGAGTTCCTGCATGTTGGACTGGGCTGCACGTTGCTGGGTCAGAACCTGTTGCAACATGGTCTCCAGTCTGGAGATCTGTTCCACCTGTGAGATGGTGGTTGTCTATTTGCTCCCGGTCTCATTCTGGGTCTGTTTTGGCTGGAGCATTTCTGTCATAACCGAGGGGAACCCAGATTTGTATGAGACCCGGAACGAGACAGACTCAGGTGGAATACAAAAGAAACGGTGTTTATTTACAAGTGCAAAAGACAACAGTTCTGATACAGCTTCTCTGCAGCTCCTGGAGGAGGTAGAGGAGGACAGTCAAGACGAGGCAGAGTTCCTAATAGCTAAAAGATTATTTTCTGTGAATCTCTTACAGTTTGATCCAGAGGTGGGT